TCTTGGGTTGCGTATCGTTAGTAAACTAGATGATTCCTGCCACCATCACTTTTACACGATTACCAACTGAATGAACGTCTGTTTTACTCGAATTTTGCCACTAACTTTGTTGATTATATTAGATTAAATCTCTTAAAACAAATGATCGTTCAGATGGGACTCGTCCACAGCTTAACCTATACTGTAGTTCCTAAGTAAATTCCCCACTTGTCTTTGTCTACCAGGTTGATCGTTTTATGTTAAAAGTTTCTGTGAAGATGCAGTAATAGTTGCGTGATTTTGTCCCTTGTGGGGGTCTGGGGAGGGAATGGGGTCGTGACCTATACTATATAAACCTAGATTTGCTTCAGTATATCATGGAATGGAATTTATAAATCACTTGGGGCGTTTGTCTCGTGGGCCTGGTACTTAACTCACACGAATATTAATCATATGTTCCATCCTCCTGTGGTTTCGTTAAATCCTGTGAAACCAATGCTTGTCACCGTCCTTTGTATTGCTGGCAGGAGGTGTAAATAACAAACATCAGTAGTAATCTACGCGGTGACGGCCGTATCATTTCTTTAATATAAACTTATCCCTCGAAATTAATTCATAACTCGGCTCTTGATTCGTCTCTATATATTACAGTACTCGTAGAGATGAAAGGGTTGGTGTATTGAAGTCAAGTGTGTAAGGATGCCTAGTTTTGGTCTTAATAAAAGTTCATAGTTGATCCCATTGGTCAGTTTTTGTCAAAGGTGACCTTGGGAGAAGTATTAAATATAAATGGTAACGATTAAACATCCAAACCAAATAGACTGCTCTCGGGTAGGGGTTGAGCCCCAACCTGAGCTACATTTGGTTACAAACCACAATATTGTTAGTGACCTCAGAAGTGTAGCTTGGCACGAGCATATCAGGTTTATTGGCTAGAGTATATCAGAGTGTGGGCTTTTTCAAGACCAGACTTGAACAACACTGGCGCAGGTTGAGACAGTGCAGGTATACAAACAGACTTAAACAGTAATATTCGACTCGACTAAGATGTTGAAACATTTACATTGGGGGGCATTATGTATCTAGAAGTGACAGCTTCACGAACTATCACAGTAGAATAATGTATACGTACATCAGTTTTAATATATATCGTCTTTCAGTAATTCAGCCCTCCAACTGTTATAAGATAACTCGTCGTTTACGTGTTATCGTTATGTATAAATATTTCATAATGACAATACCCACTCATTTATTTTATTTATTTGTTTATTTATTTATTTATATTTTTTAGTTCCAACTTGTATTAATGCAACAGTAACAATATCCTTAAGTGAACCCCTTATTTCATTCTGCCCCCCCACACTCAGTCTTCGTGAAATAAACTTAAAAAACAAACAAACATGTTGTTAATCACTTGTTTTGGACGAATTTATAGTTAGATATAAATACCTGAGGTGCCGCTAGTCCTTGAGTAATTTGTCTCAACAGTTAGTCAACAAAACACACGTGTGTGGAAGCATACAGTACATGGCGTCAATATACTGTACAGTGTTAAGTCTTGTTCCTATAAAACACTTATACTGTATTATAATAATTCCCACGTTAACAATGAAACGCCTTGGTTCTTGCATGTAATGTTCATGTATTTTCTTACATTAGAACCTAAACCGCGTATTGTGTTGCCGTCTCTGGTTCACAGTGTAATCCTTCCTTGTCAACGTCACTAATATAGTGAAGAAATACCAATAAGTTCAGTAGTCATAGTGATGCCTCAACACAGGCGCGCCAGCTTAACCCGGGGAGCGTCCTCAGTGACTGTCTGGACGCTGCCCCACCAACATCCTGTAGAGGCTGGCTGTTCGGTCACCGGACGACTTCGCTCGAATTTTGGCTCCTAAAGTCTCGGTTGTTGTCATCATCAAATATTACCTCAGTATGTCACAAGCAGTAGTGTGGTGGGCAGCTGTAGTCATCCTGTCAAGGTCGTCAGTGGAGGGCAATAATCTGCATCAATGGCGACGTGTCTTGGTGTCCCAAGCCACAGTGTCCTTATCTTCCACTGTAGAGAGTGGCGACCTACTACACCCAAGTATTAATCGCAACTTACACTGCCCCAATACCTGCACAATGCTGGGCTGGTGCAACTCTTGGTGCAAAGATGCCGCCAACAACTGCACCTTTTCTAGTATGATCGTCATGCCTACCTACAACGAGACCAACTTGGCTGACGCCCTTACCTGTTACACCGAACGTCCTATTGACTACGCTACCAACGCTAAAATTACGTCTGGACGGGAAGCACATGCAAAGAAACTTAAAGAGAATCTCATTGATGGCGTCTATGGCTTCTCTATTCTCGAGAATTTCCTTTCCGAAGCTGGAGACCACACGTGGTTTGTCCTGGATTTTGGAAAGATAGTTACTTTCAGCCACGTGGTTCTGTTTGCACAACCCAATAGCAACGTTGTCTATCATTTTCGGGACCTTGAAGTACGAGTGGGAACATCTGCCGTGACGCCTCCTGGGGGGTTGGCAACTTATCAGTTGTTCGGTAAGTTTACCGGTCCAGGGTCTGTGAGCCAAATGGTGGAACTAGTGTCCCACCAGCCACTATCGGCCAGGTATGTCTCGGTGCAGAAGACAGCTGGGGCCTATGGGCTGCAGGTTGGCCACGTCGAGGTGTTTTAACTCTTCACTCCCAAGTTGAAGTGTTTGTGGAGGAGTCAACAGTTACGTGTTATGTGAGAACTTGGCCTCTTTACAGATTCACATTGACCGTGGGACAGTTCAGCATGTTAATCATGCGTTTAAGTTAATTAAATTCTGTTGAAAAAGACTGGCTTTTGTATTGTCGTATATAAAGTGTTAAAATAAAATCTTGTGACATTCAGTAACGAAAACCCGGAAGATATAACCCGCACCTTATTTACTGACACAAAAGCAAATTGTCTTACACCCTTGAACATGTCTTGATGATGGCTTCTCCCTACAATGCCTGGCCAAGGTATCAGTCTTAGTGATGACCTTCGAGGAAATACTTTTACATACTGTATTCTCTCCCAGATACATTTAGTGTGACCAAAACAAAGCATTTCTTAACCACTATCTTATATCAACTTGACGTCGAACTGAACATGACTTTACCGGTTATGTATCCGTGAAGGTCACTTGGTCTCACCGTAAGCTACAGACAACAACGACTGAGAGCAGGGAACCATGGTCGTCTTTTCCCCAGAATTCGCGAATGAGCGCAAAGGAAGATTAAGTTAGGTTATAGTTATAGGTTGGGTTGGGTTAGGTTAGGTTACACTGGTTTTAAGAGTGTTAAGTACCGCACATTTACGGTAGTCTTTCACTAATGGATAGATCATAAAGGTCCGTATAATTACCCACTAACACTTATTAGAGGACAGTTTACCTGTTTGGCTCTTCCTCTAACACTATATTTATCTATAGTTGTAGTTTATTGTAATAATCATCTATAGTTGTAGTTTTTCTTCTATAATATTAACATACTATACTATACTACACTATACTATACTATGCATATGTATGTATACCAGACATGATGTAATACAATTAATTTGAATCATTATCGAGTGCTTGATGGTGAATGAAGTAGGTAACTTATCCTGTCGCACCATTGTGACGTCACTGTCTGGTGTCGTGTGATGGCCTGGTTTAGGGAAGGTAAAATAAATGTGTGTTTCACCATTTTGGGACGGACGCTTACTACAGCCCCCCCCCCCCCAACCCTCCCGGGCCAGGTTGATCATTCGTAATCAAGAAGGTGGAAAGTTATTTATAAATTAATTGTGGAAAGACCTAACCAAAGCTCAGTGCAGGTCTGTCAACTATCCTAGAAATATGGAGGTAAAGTTACTCACGAGGCTTAGGAGTGATCAAAAGCAGACCCGGGAACTTTACCTTAGCCAAGTGGAACACAGTTAATAATACAGCGTGTGGGGTGAGTGTGTTAATGAAGGAATGAATAGGTTTTAACTGGGAAAAATTAGCTTGTATGATGAAAGAATTTATGAATGACTAGGATATCCCACTATTAATGTAAGTGTGCGTGTACTATTAATAACGTTAATGCTAATTGAATTTTAAGTTTAATTACTCCTAAACAACCCTGACATGAAATAATACAAAAATATCAAGTGTTATCCAGAAAATTACTCCAAGATAAAATAGTAAAGTGACATCATTACACTATCATCAACAAGAAGTCAGTTATACCTGCAGCAAAACAAAGTAATTCTCTCCAGTTCTCAAACGTTGCAGTATACAGTGACTTGGTATTGTGGCATCTTAATACACTACACTGCACTACACTACACTACACTACACTGCACTACACCACACTACCCTACACTACACTACACTACCCTACCCTACACTACACTGCACTACACTACCCTACACCACACTGCACTGCACTACACCACACTACACTGCACTACACTACACTGCACTGCACTGCACTACCCTACACCACACTACACTGCACTACACTACACTACATCACACTGCACTACACTACACTGCACTGCACCACACCACACTACACTACACTGCACTACACTTAATTATTGAAAGCGTCAATACTGGCACTGCTGTCTACCTGAGAGGGGGGCGGGAGTGAAGCACCTGTGAGCGATGTGTGTCATGCAGGTATCAGATTTATGGCAGCTGATAATATTGTGCTACGTTTGTACGTCTGTAAATGATGTTTTACTGAAGCGCTGCCATCTTAAACACAATGAAAAATGAAGTTCTTAAAATTATAATCTCGGACAGACAAATCCTCACGCCATGTTCCGTGACAGTACAGTAGAGACGCGGTGCAGAGGATGTGGCAGCCGCTAGTCATCACCAACACGAACTTAAAAACAAAAACAAAAAACATGGAAACGAAAAAAAAAACAGTGTCCAATGTGAACTCTAAATATATGTTTGTTGTTCACCGAATTTTGTTTCTCCATGTTAAGGCCGTGTTTTGTGTGTGTGTGTGTGTGTGTGTGCGCGCGTGCGTGCCAACAAAGGAGATTGCATTAAAACGTATCAGATATAAATATTTTTTATGTAGATATGAAAAATATAATCTAATGGGCCATAACCCATCAAGTAATAATTATTTCTTACAACACCTACAGGCTACAGTACGTATGAGCAACAATCAGATACATACAATAACAATACTTTGATAAGGGAACTAGAACGTCAATATCAGTTTAATTGATCTTTGTTATATTGTGTTCCGATAGTTGTGTCATTATTGGTAAGTGTGGATGTGTAAGGCTGTGTACCGTGACCTAATGTACGGTAGTTGTTCCTTGGGGTAGACGAGCCTCACCTGTATCACCTCACTAACACCTTCCATGTCTCAGGTCACGTCTCACAAGGTCAAGGGGAGCTAAGACCTGAGTCAGGGACCAGGGTGAGGGACCAGGTCGTTGTGAGAGGATGAAGAGCTTGTGTGTGCTGGTGTCAACACTCCCCCAAAGGCCGGTGACTTGAGACTTGTGACGACCAGTGGATGGACAGTAAGTTGTGCCCACAGTGAGACTTTAATAGAGATGCTTGGAGCAGTGTTTACCCGGCGCTGGTAACGTTAACACTGAGGGATAAAGTGTTGTAGGTCTCCTTATATATAGACGCTGGTGTCCGTGTGTGAGCCATACACAGGGAGGTTTGGGTCGTCCTCACGACACACATCCACGCTCCTTGGTGGGGCTGCTCCCTGCTGGGCCTCCTGGGTGTGGCACCATTTTATAAGACGCTAATTTTACTTTTAACAGTTTACTTATAACACTTAATGTTCCTAAGTGATGGCAGACTGCATACTTAAACACAGTGAATACTTTCACTTAAGTCACTGCGAACTTTTGATACTTCAGATGTTAACTTTATGACAGACAAACTTAACATTAATCCCTACCTAAGAAATATTTACAAGACTTAACGTACGACCATCTTAGCGAGAGCTTCCTGGTAGGTGGGAGGAGGGACGTCGACGGCCTCCTCGTAAGCGGGAGGAAGGATGCGCTCCCATCCTCCCGTCTCCTCCCTCTCCTGCGACGACTCTCCTCCCGCCTCCTCCCTCTCCTGTGACGACTCTCCTCCCTCTTCTTCTGGTTCCCTTCTGCAAGACGGGTACAGAGTTACTTGTAATTTTGATGGACTGTCCGTGAGTACGTTTGTTGTACGTGGGTATGGCTACTGTCCGTGGGTATGGTTACTGTACGTGGGTATGGTTACTGTACGTGGGTATGGTTGTTGTACGTGGGTATGGCTACTGTCCGTGGGTATGGCTACTGTCCTTGGGTATGGCTACTGTTCGTGGGTATGGCTACTGTACGTGGGTATGGTTGTTGTACGTGGGTATGGCTACTGTCCGTGGGTATGACTACTGTCCGTGGGTATGGCTACTGTCCGTGGGTATGGCTACTGTCCGTGGGTTTGGCTACTGTCCGTGGGTATGTCGACTGTACGTGGGTATGGTTACTGTACGTGGGTATGGTTGTTGTACGTGGGTATGGTTACTGTACGTGGGTATAGTTGTTGTACGTGGATGGTTGTTGTACGTGGGTATGGCTACTGTCCGTGGGTATGGCTACTGTCCTTGGGTATAGCTACTGTTCGTGGGTATGGCTACTGTACGTGGGTATGGTTGTTGTACGTGGGTATGGTTGTTGTACGTGGGTATGGCTACTGTCCGTGGGTATGGTTACTGTACGTGGGTATGGTCCGTGGGTATGGCTACTGTCCGTGGGTTTGGCTACTGTCCGTGGGTTTGGCTACTGTCCGTGGGTATGTCTACTGTACGTGGGTATGGTTGTTGTACTTGGGTATGGCTACTGTCCGTGGGTATGGTTACTGTACGTGGGTATGGTTGTTGTACGTGGGTATGGCTACTGTCCGTGGGTATGTCTACTGTCCGTGGGTATGTCTACTGTCCGTGGGTATGGCTACTGTCCGTGGGTATGGCTACTGTCCGTGGTTAGTATGGACGTGAAGTAATCCTGAACTTAGTTAATTATATTTGTCTTATTTATCTCTGAGTCTCAACTATCCTGATTTATGTTTAATGTATTGTACGTATTAACTACCCTTCCCTTCCTTCCTTCCTTCCTTCCTTCCTTCCTTACTCCCACCCTCCTTCCTCCCCACTCCATCTCCCTTCCTACTCCTCTCTTACCTTAGTCTACTCCGTGCCACATGATACAGCAACATTAGACCAATAATGAGGATCAAGGTTGCCGCCATTGCCTGACACGTCCAGATCATCACCTGGTTCAGCATCTCGTTCGAACATCCACCTGTAATTAGTGTGTTCATTTATACATATTTATGCACGTGTGGCAGAACTATTTATACATAATTCTATACATGGTTATACACAGGTGATCGTAATTCAGTGATTCTGTGATAGGTTTAAAGTTTCACATGTAGGATTAAGTCACCTGTAGGATTTAGTCACATGTGGGATTAAGTCACCTGTGGGATTAAGTCACCTGTAGGATTAAGTCACCTGTAGGATTAAGTCACATGTGGGGTTAAGTCACCTGTGGGATTAAGTCACCTGTAGGATTAAGTCACCTGTAGGATTAAGTCACCTGTGGGATTAAGTCACCTGTGGGATTAAGTCACCTGTAGGATTAAACCTGTAGGATTAAGTCACCTGTAGGATTAAGTCACATATGGGATTAAGTCACCTGTAGGATTAAGTCATATGGGATTAAGTCACCTGTGGGATTAAGTCACCTGTAGGATTAAGTCACCTGTGGGATTAATTCACCTGTGGGATTAAGTCACATGTGGGATTAAGTCACCTGTGGGATTAAGTCACCTGTAGGGTTAAGTCACCTATGGGATTAAGTCACCTGTGGGATTAAGTCACCTGTAGGATTAAGTCACCTGTGGATTAAGTCACCTGTGGGTCACCTGTAAGTCACCTGTGGGATTAAGTCACCTGTAGGATTAAGTCACTTGGGATTAAGTCACCTGTAGGATTAAGTCACATGTGGGGTTAAGTCACCTGTGGGATTAAGTCACCTGTGGGATTAAGTCACCTGTGGGGTTAAGTCACCTGTGGGATTAAGTCACCACCTGTAGGATTGGTGGGATTAAGTCACCTGTGGGATTAAGTCACCTGTCACCTGTGGGATTAAGTCACCTGTAGGATTAAGTCACCTGTAGGATTAAGTCACATAAGTCACCTGTAGGATTAAGTCACCTGTAGGATTAAGTCACATGTGGGGTTAAGTCACCTGTGGGATTAAGTCACCTGTAGGATTAAGTCACCTGTAGGATTAAGTCACCTGTGGGATTAAGTCACCTGTGGGATTAAGTCACCTGTAGGATTAAACCTGTAGGATTAAGTCACCTGTAGGATTAAGTCACATATGGGATTAAGTCACCTGTAGGATTAAGTCATATGGGATTAAGTCACCTGTGGGATTAAGTCACCTGTAGGATTAAGTCACCTGTGGGATTAATTCACCTGTGGGATTAAGTCACATGTGGGATTAAGTCACCTGTGGGATTAAGTCACCTGTAGGGTTAAGTCACCTATGGGATTAAGTCACCTGTGGGATTAAGTCACCTGTAGGATTAAGTCACCTGTGGGATTAAGTCACCTGTAGGATTAAGTCACCTGTAGGATTAAGTCACCTGTAGGATTAACTCACCTGTATCATCGGGGCGGAAGTTGTTGATGCACAAACATCGACCGTCCGTACAGCGAAGGTTTGTATAAGGAGTACAGGGTCTAAACGGCCCACACGTCGAGTTGTACGTTCCTGTTGACGCTGTTGAGGAAGGTTACAGGTTGATTACAGGATGAGGTTACAGGCTGTAGGTATTGGTTGATTACAGGCTGAGGTTATACAGGTTTAGGTTACAGGCTGGAGGTATTGGTTGATTACAGGCTGAGGTTATACAGGTTTAGGTTACAGGCTGGAGGTATTGGTTGATTACAGGCTGAGGTTATACAGGTTTAGGTTACAGGCTGGAGGTATTAGTTTAGGCTACAGGTTTGAATAAAGGATTAAGCTATACAGGCCCGGACAGTCTACACACACACACACACACACACACACACACACGCACACACACACTTGAAATCATGACGATGTAGACAGATTACATATCTCAGATTACATGATTCAATAATAATTGTTGATCCTCGTGTAACGAGGATGGCACCAGCCTTGTCGTGGGAATAACTTGCAAGCAAGGTCAACATTGACCTTGCTTGCACCTTACTCGCCTCTTGTCAACAGCTCCACTAACCACACGCGCTGGCCCTCACACGCCTGCGGTGTTGTGGTGTATGGAGCAAGCAGGAGCCTCTCCGTGTGTTTACTGAGGAGAGGCTTCTACATGTCTCCATACACCAGAACATGTCACAAGTCCCACTGTACCTGTGGCCGGACTCATGGATGGCTGGACTGGCCTAAGTCCACATCTCAGACCAGCGAGAGACAATAACACTCACCTCTCGTCTCTTTAAAGGCCGTTTACAATTGGTTTTCAGTTGCGAATATCAAATATTTGTAATTATTAGTTTAAACTAACAATATATCATGATCAGATGAAGCCTTTCACCTAACACAAGGATGTACAAACTTCTTCCATTCTTCTTGCAAGTCTCACCTGCAGGGGAAGGTAACAATCAACACTCAGTCAATTTTACACCTCACCTTCAACAGTGTACAGCACTAACATACTAATTCTTCAGTACTCACTCGTGTAGTCCTCCGAGGACACTGATTCCATGGTAGAGTTGACTATCCACAGTTAACAAGTTATCGCTGCTTCAGTAGGTCAGTTCCTTTAGTGTTACGCCTTTACAGTGGTTCCTCAGGGGTGTATAGTGGCTTCTCTCTAGATCTGTGCTTGACGGCCTTCAAGCTTAAGTTATCATCATGTGACAACTTTGTCTATATTAGTTGTGGCACCTCACTGTGATCATCACCAGGTGGATGGCTTGTGGTGTTGCTCAGCTGATGAA